AAAGCTCACCGGAAGCACTTTTTCGTCAAAAAAAGATGGCGGCGCCCAGCTGATGCCGGTACCAGGCCGCGGCGCCCAGCTGATGCCGGTACCGGGCCGCGGCGTCAAAAAGGTTGGGGATCACTGGGGTAGAGTATTCCAGACATTGACCACTCTATTGCTGAAGTCATATTTCCTGCAATCAAGTTTGGTGCGGTTAACATTGAGTTTGTATCTATTGTGTGCTATTGTGTTGTTATGGTTGAAGCTGAAGTATTCAATGTATTCTATGCGGGGGTCCAGCTAACCTTGTAGGCTGTCTGTGTCCCAGGCTTGGTTGAATCTTGCTGGGTGATGATGTAATGAAGAGGCTTGTGTTCTAAAAGGATGTTGGGCAATTCCTATTATGGCTTTCTCCAGGTTTGGATCTTGAGTGAGCACTAATCCTATCACCCTGGAACTGAAGGCCTTTTGTCTTGTAGATAAAATAGCCCAGTCTTTCTGGGGCTATTAATAAAGGTGGGGACTGCTTTCCATGTTTCTCCTTTTCTCATCCAGGGAAATATAATATTCTGCCTTTTTAATATTTCCTAAAATATTTAATTCTTCTAGGCAGAGGGTGGGTGCTAACTTTTTTCACATACATGCACCATTGTACCAAAGTTCGAGAATGAACAGCCTGCCCCAATACCTGGGGGGGAAAGCCAGGTCTTCATAGCCTTCTGAAAGGTCAGTATGATTAGAATCCCCTATATCTCTGGGAGGGGACTCTTCCATAGGGCAAGCAACCATGATAGAGGAGGCATATTTCCTAGGAAACATCAGGTGACATTGCCCTACTGAGGGGACTTGGGGCATGCCTACCCTGTCAAACCTGGTGGGATGGGCTGAAACCATCAGGGATAAATAACCATATCAATTTTAAAGATAACCCACAGCAACTTAAATTGAACTTGGAACCCTGCTGGATCCCAATGCAGTAAATAGTCCTTGTCTTACCACCACAACTGAGCCCAAAGTTTCTGTTGCTGAGACAGTTTTGCTCAAGTTTGTGACCTACTTTCCCCAAAGACAGGGGATACCACTCCATCCTAAAAGGGGACATTTACTACCACTTGATATAGCTAAATATCACCTCCTGAGAGCCCCTAAAACCTGCCAGGAGTGAGATGAATCCAACTTTCAAATAGTAGGATTCAATGTCCCACAGACTCTTGTAACCAAATCAGATTCAGCCCAGATAACCAGACAAAACTGTACATTTCAATGAAGATAAGCTTTTATCCTGCCATAGCATGGACTAATTCAGGCTTATAATAAAGTAGCTTCCGTATGAGGCTGTTACTATAGCCATTCTGCTTCTCAAACTGACATATGTAGGAAATCCAAATATTGCTGTTTTTAATTTATATTCTACAAAGTTTTTCCATCAGTGAGAAAGACAGAAAAGCCATAAATATTTCTGAATGGTAATAAAAGGAAACGTCTGTTTGAAAACCTTCCAAACCTATTTAAATTGCTGTAATTCATTAATGGATATGGCTCTATATTATTGAAAGGGGGGTGGGTTTTTAGCATTTATTATACTGAAATAAATGATTGACATAAACCACATGTACATTGGCTCAAAAGTTAGTTCCTGTTAATTTAATGGCACTTATTCTAGGAATTTTTGAATGCTAATGTTAATTTTTGAATAGTCTAGGGCTTGAGGTTGACCTCAATAGTTTCAAATACCGGTAGTTGTGTTCCTGCAATATACAAAGAAATAAACCAAGAGGCAGTAACCTTTTTTGGGACGAAGGCACACACTTAAAATCAATAAACCTGGCCTCTAAAGTCATGACAATGATTTAATTAAAATTATTAATCATTTTTTGTTCATTGCTGTGGAGAGAGAGTATTTTAGCTACCAAATTAAAATGCTTTAAGCCTATAGCAGGCTTAGTTCACTATTTTAGGCATATGTAAATGAAAGTGAAGAAAAATGTTGCCAAAATCTAGTTTTCAGCAGTGCAATTTGGGAGATCTGGAGATATAAAAATAGAACTGGAGTCCATGGTTGCTGATTACTGTCATAAGCCATAGTTTTACAAACCGCAATGGCCAAGTCTATACATAGAGACCTTGATCTTGAGCAGCTGTTGGCAATAAGACTCTTCCATGCCATGTGGTGAATAACAAATTCTCTTAATGGTCCCCCAATGTTTTCCTATAGTAAGCCACCTTATAGTATGACTTCCTTCTTGAGGTCAAATAACCATTCCCCCTAATGTCCTTCTAGAAACTACTGGTAGTCAAAAAAATTAGAGAGCTTTTGGGAGCTGAGTGTTATTTGTACCACTGTAATTCCTTCAAGTTATTACCTTTTAATATTACAGTATTTTATTGTTGTAAATAAGGCTAATATGGTTTAATATGAACAAAAGACCATATGGGTTAGAGTTTTATGTACACGAAACAGCCTGTAGTCACTAGGAGTGGATGGCATACAACGTGGATTATACCTGATCAAAATAAATGTTAAATCGGAATTAAGCCGCCAGTCTTCCGCACTCCTCTGCATTGTGATTTAAAACAAATCATAATAGCATGCTGCAATGCACAAACCAAGGACCTGAAAGGAATCTACACTGGTGGATTTGTGCTAAGCCTAGATCTATTAAGACACAGGGAGGCTCGCCAATGAATCCCGTATGTATACCATCGTGTCTTTTATTATGTGCTGCAGAAATGCAGCTAATTTCGTGTAATAGTCAAACCAAGGCTTAGGATTACACAACACCAGTCAATTGTGTTTTTTTCTTCTTCAAAACAAGACCACGGTTAATAAAATCCAAGGTTATGAAAAATCAGAGTACAGTACAGCGTTCCTGAGGCAGCAGGACGCCTCGCGAAAGGAAAAAGGCGCATCTACCCGTTTTGCCCCCTTCTGAGCCGCACAGCGAGCGCGCGTACTTCCACGCGCCACGCGGGGGGGGGGGGGGGGAGCGTCGCCGCGATAATGGCGCGCGGCCTTGGCAACGGCGTTCCACTAGAGAACTTTGCAGGGAGCCGCCATCGCCTCAGGCCGTCGCTTTTCCCGCCCCGTGATGGCCATAAGCAGGCGCGAATCCCCGTCGGGTGGAGTCGCAGCCGAGCCAGCATGAGGAGGCGCCCCAAAAGGGGCGGCTTTTCTCAGCCATTCTGGTTGCCGCTGCTCATAGCCCGAAAGTACCAGGCGGGGGCTCCGTGGTATTAAATCCGGAGAGCCTTGGGGTGTGTGTGTGGTGGGGTCACCGCAGGTGAGCGTGAGGCCGACCGGGGAACTTCATTGTGCCGTCCAGATTCCCCCATACACTTAGGTCAAGATTCCCTCGTACGCTTAAGTAGAACATGAGGTGGCCGGGCAGCCTGGAAACCGGGCATCTTTCGGTGAAAACTGAAAGAAGAGTGCTTCCTTTGCCACTTCCTTCCTGTACGCCCCGATCCGATGAGTGAGCCCTCTCCCCATCTTAGTTTCGTTTAGGAAGGAGAAGAAGAAAAAACCCGAGGGTGGAAAACCTGGAGTCTTC